GAGGTGCCTCGGTGGCCATTACAAGACACGGAAGTGTGGGGGGTAGCCCCACAGCAAACTGGGGGAAAGGGCTAGGGCTGACCGCCCCAGTGAGCGGGAGGAGGGGAGCTGGCGGAGGCGGAGGACAGACTGAATGAATGTTAGCGGTCAGCCTGGCCCCGCCTCTGAAAACAGGGAGAAGAGAACAGTCCGGACCGGGGCTCGTCCTGCTGAGCTGGGATAGATGTGGCTTCTCCACTCAGCCTTCCTCCCCGTGTCACCTGCGTCTGCTTCTGACGCAGGCGCGCGGAGCGGCTACCCCCAGCAAAACGGTCTGCATCACCCCAGCCCAGGCTGCTCCTCCAAGCCCAGGCAGGAAGCCTCTCCCCAGAGTTGGAGGGGACCATGCCTATGCAGTTGCTGCCGGGCCCAGTCAGGCCAGCATGAGGCCGTCCGCTGACGGTCATTATCAACGATGGGGCTTCCAGGAAGGCTCTGGCTGGGCCCCATTGAGTGTCCCACCCATGGGAGGGGCAGCTGAATGCTGAGCATGCTGGGGTGGACCCCTCATCCACGTTATTTCCTTTCTAGGGGCTGGCGGGAAGATGGCTGCCACACGCGCTGCAGGACCGGCGACGCTAGCGCCCGGCCTCACCGTTGCCGCCTGACTGGAGCGAGCAGACGTGCTCTTAGAAACGCCTTTCCCCTCAGGGAAGGGAGGGACCCGCCCCCCACCTCCAACTCGCCCCTTCACAAACAGCTTCTCCCCTTCTCCGGCTGGGCGGGAAGCTCCGGGGCAGCAGGGTGAGCATGGAGCCTTCTGGGGGTTTTCTTTCCCACCCCAAAAGGCAGCTTCGTTTCCATGGCAGCCCAGCGGGGCGGGGCCGTGCTGGGGGCTGCAGACTGTCTAACTCTCTCCTCCTTGCCCCTCCAGGCGTGCTGTGAATGTGGGGAAGGGATGCTGCAGCCCCTCAGCTCCTGCTTGGACTGTCGCCAGGGCCGTAGTGCGCTGCTCCACGCCAGGAGAGAGGTAATCAAAGGCTGGCTAAGCTGTGTCCTCCGTCATGCTATCGGAGGAGCATCAGCGGCCTCTCTCCCACTCCTCTTTCCAAAAGCCAAAGCGCGGGCGGGGAAGGCATGTCAAGAGGCATAGCGGAGGAAAGAAGAAAAGGCCTTAAAAGAAAACCATGGAAACCCCAGTCCTCGGAGGGCCAGGGGGACTTAGCTTTCTTGCCCTTTCCCAGGTGCTCAGGAGGAAGTTCTTGGTGCATGCTAGATACCTTGCCCTCTCGCCCTCAAGATCATACCAGCTTGCTCGACCCATCTAGGGCCAGCTGGTGTCACTCCCTCTCCCTCGCTTTTGGGTAAGTTGGCTTTACTGACCTGCTCGCAGATGGTGGCAGCTTCCAGGGTGATGGCAGATGCTCTGCTGTCCAGAGCTGTGATTCTGCCTGTTGTCACCAAGAGGGCTGGGGCACTGAGTTGACAACAGGCGGCTAGGCTGGCTTGTATTATACTAGCAGCATGAGAAAACCTTTGCTAAGCAGAAAAGGATAAAATAGAGAGAAACATTACACTCAACCACTGCCCATGCTACCGTGGCTCCAATGCTGCTTATACTCCCGCCAGCTCTCATGGAGCCAGTGCAAATATATATACCCAAACTGGGAGTCGCACCTAGCTCCTAGTATAGCCATTGCATAGCCCTGCCACTAGAGAGCTCTCAAAATGTGTCCACAATTGGGCTATGTCTACACTCGCGGCTTCTTGCACAAGTAGGGCCGTTCTTGCGCAAGAATCCGCCAGTGTAGACGTAGCCTTGCTGATTTTACCCTCCCCCCTGACTCCCACAATCTGTGTTCTAATCCCGTGTCCACTAGTTAGGCGCATGACACATGGACAGCTACGCTTGCAGTGCTGAGCTTACTAATATGCAACTTAACTTAGGGGACATGCAGAATTGTTACATTCCAGACCCTTGGTAAGTCCATTTCGTAGGGTAAAAGCAGCTGGCACTTAGAGACACGTACACCGGGTAAAAATTTCAAAACCACCTGCATGACATAAAAGCCCAAGTCCCATTTTCAAATGTGACTTAGGCCTAGAACTTCAAAAAGGTACTTACGCACCCAACCCCCACTGAACTGGGACTGAAGCACCTAAATACCTTTGAGGATTTGGGCCCTATGCTCCTAGATCTCATAGAAAGTCAATGGGCTTTAGGCTCCTAAATCACTTATGTGCTTTGGAAATTTTTACCCAAAAGCCCTGTTAGACTATGACTGAGATCATGCTATGCAGACCCGCTCCAGTTGGGGGACTATATTTGTGGTTTTCCAAAAGGCTTCTCAGGAAAGTGTCCCTGTCCAGTCTGTTCAAGGGAACGCAGCTGGAGCCCTGCCTGTCATAACTATGTTTGTACGTGGTCACTGTCAGCTTGGTTTCAATCCTAGCACTGAAAAAGGCCTACCTTCACCGTGGCGCTTTCATCGCTGGGCTAGCTGAAAGCACTGCGCTCTTTGCCTCATCCACTGTTGCTTGTGATTGAAACTCATCCTCCTAATGTATTACTGCAGAAAGGCCGTTTTCACTCAGCTGCTCCAAATGTGATGCTTAAGATGATAACGACGACAGCAACATCGTCATCCAGCTCTTGCAGAGCATGTTACACCAGTAGATCTCAACATGCATCACAAAGGAGGATGGTAAGATTATCCCCACATTACAGAGGGGAAAACTGAGGCATGGGGAGGGGATGGGACTTGGCCATCATCACACAGCAGGCCAGTGACTGATCCAGGAACAGAATCCAGGTCTCCTAAGCATGAGTTCACTGCTATGTCTCTGGAGAACTCTGCCTCCAGGGAGGCCATTTAAAATCCGCTAGGAATCTTGTAGAACTGCATAGTCTATTTACCCCCGGCGAGTATCTGGAAAAACTGAGAGAAGCGACTGCAGGGGTCGGTGAAGCCTGCAGGGAAAGTGAAAATTAGGAAGGTCTGATGCTGCTCGCCATGCCTGAAAACATTTAGAAAAGAAGGAAAAAGGCCTAGCCACCAAGGTCACATTTAGATTAAGTAGCCATGCTGGTCACGGGAGCTGGCTGACACATTTGCACAAAAAGGAGTTATTGAAAATGGTATTTTCAAAAAATGAAACTTTTAGCAAAAATCATCTATTATTGACATTTTCCATGAATTTTTTTAACCAAGTATTTTATCCAAATCATTTTTTTCATTTACCAAGAACTCTTTTCATACTGCATATCCAAGCCACCTTGAATATTTTAAATAGAAAGGCGGGGTAAACATAAATAAATACATAAATAAATAAAATTTCAGGACCCATTTTTAAAAAAAATTAGTAAAATAAATAATGGAAAATTTAGTCAACATTGGCAAACGGATCTATTCTGAATCCTGAAAGAACAACATTTTTCATTGCTTAATTTTTCCCATATTTTGATCTTTTTAAAGTCAGTTCCTATTTATACCAGCTGAAGATTTGATCCTCTAGATTTCAATTCTAAGATACACTTGGAACAAATTAGAAGGAGAAAAGAACCATTACTTTCTCTTCCCGTATCATTTTATTTAAGAGACATCAACTTCTGGAGTATTTGATAGCCACACTTCTTTTATTGTCAGTATCAGTTAAGTGGTTCTCACATGTCAATATCAAATACATATTTCAAGTCATAATTACACATAATGCTATATAACAACAATAACCTTAAACTGTAAACTGATTGGCAATCTCTGGCAACCCCAACACAAGAAAAAAATAAAAGAATCACTGAAAGCAGCTAAAAATACAACACGTGTAACCAAGCTGTGCAAAGCAAGTAAAATTGTCTGTAAGCAATGATCAGATTGACTCAAACTTCCAAATTTCCTTTGCAATGAACTGGAAAATAATCGTGCCTTTACCCCTGGGTCCAAAGGGATCCATCTCCCTCCGCCCCATAACTCACATTCAAAATTGTGACAGCAACTAATGCAACAATATCAAAAACCAAAAATCTAGATAAGATCATTTGCATAATCTTGGCACTACAAGCTGGCAATCCCCACTCTTTTTTTTTTTTTTTTTTGCATGGTAACGTGGCATATAAGAGAAGAAGGAATTTGTTAAGATTTCAGTGTTGGTACACAAGATGCTAAATAGCCTTATTGCCAGCTAGAAAGGGTTTCTGTCTTGTGGACAGGCTGCTGGTCTGAGTATGGTCTCCCTGAACGGCTTGTTTCTCATCCCAGAGGGCAATTTCTACCTTAATTTAAATGCCTGCAACATGTACTGAAGATTCATGACTAGCCAGGGCAGAATTTGTCTCCACCTATTGGGGAAAGCGGAGAATCCCGGTGCCCACAATAGCCACAGGAATACATATAAATATGTACCACAAGTGATCTTCATTAGGCAGTAACATTGCATTAGAAAACCCCTGAGTGTTGTGCTCTGACAAGGGAGGCATGTCCTACCAGAAGGGAAAACATGAGCACCGAGGCTGCAAGTACACAGCTGGCCTGCACTGCCAGAATACCCAGAGATTGGCCGGGAGGGTTGTATTACACGCTAGAGATCAGTTAGAACGGAAGCACCTTTTGTCTGTTAATCAAGTCTCGCTTTCATGCCAGCCTGGGAGAGGGCAGTAGGGGAGGCGGGGGAACCTGGGTCTGAGAAACAGATATTCCCCTAAGCTGCTCATTTTCAATCTTAGTCGCTATTATTTGTATGACCGTGTAGCACCTAGGAGCCCCAGGCATGGAGCACAGCCCCACCATGGAGTCCACTAGGAAAAGCTTTTGATCTCCCTGGCCAGGAAAGGCTACTGCCTGGACCCACATGCAGATATTTAAAACTTGGGCACAGTGGGGCTGGTCTGCTGGCTTTTTACATCCAGTCACACCACAGACATGCCAATGAGAATCAGGCCTGGAATACATTTGCTATTAGATGGATCTCATGCATGAAGTCCCTTTCATCACCCAACCCTGGCATGGTTTTAGTCATGGGGGAAATCTCAACTGTGTGACTGTCGAATCCATCTCCCTGACCCCCCATCAGTGGCTTGGTATTCTCTGTTTCCCCAAGACCATTTTAAAAAAAGCAAATCCGAGTTCTGATGGCTTGGACTGCATTGACGTCAGGCCCTGCAGCATGTTATGACAGCTGAAAGCAATTCCAGCTTGCCCGTGCCGCATGGAACTACTCTGTTAATGGATGTATTTGAGGGTCTAGCAAGAGCCGATTTAAAAGGTTTGTTGTAATTATACAACACATTGGATCGTGCAGGACTGTGCTCTCTGACACATGCCTCTCTCCTCTTCCAATCCACAGTGCTAGACCTGGCTGCTGTGATGTTTGTACCGTTTCACTGCTTTTCAAAACCACTCCATCACTGGGACAGAGGAGACGAATTCTTTCACTAGGCCAGATCCTCACCTGAAGTCATTAGAGTGGCGCTGATATAAGGCATCTGAAAACCTCATCTGCATTCCTGTGCCCTACACAAATGTACACGTAGTTCAGATTTGGCCCAACCGCTCCTCCGTCACGGCTCTGCAACCTGGTACACAGAGTCACAGAGCCGCTCTGGCCAGCCTCTTCATTTTGGGCTTCCTCCATGAACGTGGGCCCTAAGAACATGCCTTGGTTGCCTGGCCTTGAGCACTGACTGCTGAGGACAAGCCATTTGGAGGGAAAATATGGGCCGTGGCCCCATTAGCACCAAGGGCTGAGGCTTGTATTTTGCAGCCAGGCCAGGGAGCAGCAGGTAGAAAAGGAAGAGGTGTAAGCAGGAGACATACAGTCCCCCAGCTGAGGGGCGTGTGCACTAGAGAAAAGCAAGACGTTCTTAGCTCGAGATAGCGAGCCTGAGGTAAAATCCCAGTGAAGATGAAGAAGTTTGTAGCTTTCATGAGTTAGCAGGTCAAGATAAAGACTATGAGTGATCTTAGGACTTACCTGATAACCAAACTGCTTGATTTTCACTAGGATTTTACCTCACGTTAGCTAGTTCGAGACCAGTGTGCATCAGTGTTCCCTGTGGAGTGTTTGTGCAGCCACTCAGGAACATCGCCCTGCTGATTAGCAGAGCACTGACAGCTAGTTTTTTTTTCTACTGGTGGTGCACATTCGCACATGCCTCAGTGCACGTAAAAATATTCCACACATAGATGGAAAATATTAGAGGGAACATCAGTGTGCACCTTTTCCTCATAAACACCAGGCTCGGGTGTAGTTGGCCTAGCTGCACTGAAGTCAAGAAAGCTACATGGCTTTATACCACCTGACAGTCTGCTGCCCCAGAACCAGCAACCGATCAGTGACACCAGAAGCAAGGTGTTGCCATTTCTCTGCCAGCAAGCGGTGATTTGCAAGAGCCACCATGCTGCTGTCTCTATGGCTAAAAATACAGCACGATGCTGGCTAGATGCAACACATTCTAAATGGCTCAGCTTCCCCCTCTCTTCCCTTCTCTCTGCCACCCCCTCCAGGGTATGGACAGCTGGGATGACTGAAACCAGATTTGTTCCACCGGGAGATCAAAAGAGAGTATGGAAGATATCAGATTACAGATTGAGTCAGCAGCAAGATTACTTTCCCCAGAGCCAAAACCATGTGTGCGAGCCAAGAACATAGTGAAAAGGCACATGGAGAAAGAAAAGCACCTTGTACCTTTTCTGTAAATCAGTCCTTGGTCAGCTGTGCAAAGGGAGGGAGCGGAGAACCAAGTGAGCGTTTGGATCCCAAACAGAGACGCTTCATTAGAACTGTACTTTAAAATACCTTAGAGAGGCCTAGTCCGAAGCTGTCAAGTTTTCATGCAGCTGACCTATATTTTGAATGCCTTGTAAAACACAACATGGTGACTCTCTTCTGATCAGGGAGATCTGTCTGCTTGTCACCACCCGAACTTTTGGCTTCAGCAGACTTGCCTAGAGGAAAGAAAGAAAAGCAAAACGGCACCCCTCTTGGGCCTATCTCATAGACCTTGTGACCCCTCCCCCCCCCAAACAAAACCATGTCCACTGCAATACACAGGTTGTAAATATGTGGGAACATGCCAGGGGAACCTTCACACGACTGTCCTGGAAAGTCCTGCTGCAGCTGCTCCCAGGAAACACAAGCTGTATAAGACACAATCATTTTGCCAGATGTTTACAGATTGGCTTGTTACTCACAACTCTTGCAAACCGAGAGAGACTGCTCAAGGGTATGTTGTTGTGAAAGACCCTTGTGGCACTACCCTTGTGAAAGAGCATTCTAAACAAGGAATAAATACAGCCGACCTTCTGCTAGTGAACTTACCGCTGCTGAAACTCTCAAAGTAGAGATGGTAAGAGCATTATTATTTCTTCCATGAAAGGTTTCAGGTAAAAAGTACCTACGTGAATTTAGGAGCCAAACTTGACAATCAATGGGATATAGGTTCCTAAAGTTAGTCGCATGCTTTAAAAGTCTCAGAGTGATAGCTGTATTAGACTGTAACTTTAAAAACGAGTAGTCCTGTGGAACTTTAGACACTAACAAATATATATATAAAGTATCATGAGCTTTTGAGGGCAAACCCACTTCCTCAGATGAGCTTGTGGGTTTTGCCCACAAAAGCTCATGATACTTATATATTTTTTGTGTTAGTCTCTATGGCACCACAGGACTACCCAAATGCTTTACAAATGTTTACCCTTTGACAAAAAAACCAACAACTTTCCAACACGATGGAGATTTTTTTCCTAGCTAATGGATACTGGATTTTGAGTGGAGAGGTGTTAATTGAAAATCTCAAGGATTTTGACGACAATGGAAAAACTCCTAGTGACATTTTCTGTTTTTGCCAAAAGCCCCAACCAAAATGTTTTATGGAAAATGTCTTAAACTGCCTCTAGTTTTTAGCCACTGGTACAGCTGTGCGGCTGCCTGTGTTCAAAGCCCTAGTCTACATGCGCAGCCCAGTGGCATGCAGCCTGGGAAAGCTGCCCCCATGCAAGACATGTTCAGTGTATCCCCATTAGGAGTTTACACCAGTGCAGCCACATCACTGTCACTTACACCCCTGGCTGAAAGCCTGGTGTTCTGGTTGATATCAATGCATTGCAGTGGGCAAGCCATTATAGGCACAGCTGTTCTATGTATGAGCTTCACTATACAGTTAAGAGGCTTCCACTCTATGCTACTTTTAATTAGCAGAACAGGAATGCATCATGGGAAATGGGGCAATAAAGGCACTTGGAAGCAAACTCACTGAGACCGGTCGATGCTTAATTTTCATCCAGGTACATGTCAAGATGTTCTTTCCCCAATCTGATCACATGCAGAAAACCCCAGAGAATTAGCAGGCTCAAGCAAAATTCCTTCCTTATGTCTGAACCTTAACTAATGAGCAATGAAACACAGGACAAAGGGAGGGTGAAACTTCCTTCAGGAAGGTTGCCAGGAATGGGTACACACAATACAGCATCCACATGAACGTACACACAGTACTAGCTGTTCAGAACAGGGTCCATTCTCCCCTTGATATATACTTATAATTCTAATATGGACAATACATTACTCTCCACTCTATGCATGTAAATTATCTTTTGCCTCAATGGCAGCTGCTTGTGTGATTAGAAGTTGACTTCTAAATGACAAACATAGGAACCCCAGTGTGCACACACAGTAACAACTGGCTCCAGCAGAAGCTGAGCAATGAGGGGTCAGGATCTCAGCAGGTGCAAATCAACATGGAAAAAAGTAACAAGTAGTCGTGAGGTATCTTAGAGACCAACAAAAATACATACAGTATCATGAGCTGTGATGGGCAAAACCCACTTCCTCAGATGAGCTGAAGAGGGATAACAGGAACCCAGAATTTATAACAGGGAAAAAAAAGGGAGAAAAACGTTCTATTATAAATTTGGGTTCCTGTTATCCCTCTCCAGCTCATCTGATGAAGTGGGTTTTGCCCACCGAAGGTCACGACACTATATATTTTTGTTAGTCTCTGAGGCTGTGTCTACACTACAAAGACCTTTTTTTTGGAAAAGCAGATGCGTTCCTTGGATGCGGAAGAGCTTGTCCGGGATACCAGAGGTATCCCGGACAAGCTCTTTAGTCTAGATGTACCCTAAGGTGCCTCAGGATTACGCGTTGCTTTTAAAGTTACAATCTATCATGGCTACCCCTCTGAGACTGAGAAAACTGACACCTCTCACTAGAGCGAGGGGGCCCCTACAGGGAAGTTCTCTCTGGCTTAAAGGACCTTACGAAATGCTTTGCGGGGCAGAACAATGTTGAAGTCGGGAAGCTACTAAAATGGCCCTTTTTGCTCTGTTCTTCCTTCCACTTCCTGCAGTGTAGACAGCGCCAAAAGCCGAGTTTAGCAATTTTGACTTCATTTACGCAATTGATGTAGTTTACGTTGCGTATCTTAACTCGACTTTTGCCCTGCTGTGTAGATGTCCCCGAAGACACACTGTCACACACAGGGCAGATCACCTGAAATTTCATACGGCAACAAGTAGCATGCTCGAGGTCTGCCATGCTTCCCAAGGTAGCAATACAATCACCGGTCCTAGCTGGAGCATAAATGAATTGCACGAAGCTCTCACAAACCATGCATGCTGGAGCTTTTGATGGGGCACTGGCATCTGAGGTCCTTTGGCAGCACGATCAGATGGACAAACACGCACTGAAGCACATGGGAGCAGCTTAAAGAGCAGCCAGCAACAACATCAAATCCATACAAAGACAGACCAGAGTGTCCAAAATGCACTCCATGGATGCCCTCATCTTTCATGGAAGGTGGGAAGGGTTGCGGGGGAGGGTTGCAATGCCTTGGAGAGCCACAGGTCCCTGAATTCAGTGCTCTCCACAAGTGAGATAACACCCACTATCTTAAAAAGGCGGCCATTTCCAATCCGCCTTGCTTAGTGCAACCTGACTGCAGCCCCAGAGCTCTGGGTAAATCGCCAAGTGATGTTCAGTTGGGCACATTTGGTTGTCGCAGGTTAGACTGACTGAGAAATGACTCGCTAATCCTACAGCAAAAACCCCATTTAGATAATTAGGACAAATGGGCTTTTGGGGCGGGCAGTAGACTTAACGCAAGCAACGCACGCTGGGGCTTGTAACCACAGTTTGCCATGAGGGGATTTCAGATAAGATACGTCCAAATAAACGAGGTATGACTGGTTTTTTTTTTTTTTTTAAATGCTGGTGTGTATGTCATCCCCTTTAGAGAAAGCAACCTATAAGCAATGCCCTGTAAAGACCCTGCCCAAACCTCCCTAGCAACCTTCAGGCTGCATTTAGCACAGATCTTGCCTTGGTGTTGTCTGAAATCATGTGCAAGTCCAGAACCTGAAGGGAATCTTTTTGCTTCATCCTAACTTTGTCTCCTGCGTGGCTCGGTTCACACAAGTGCTCATTTAAACTCTGGATGTATCAAGCCATGGGGTCCAGAAGAGGATAGATTACACTTTTCTGGGCAGCGTCTCCTTCGCAAGGACACTTACTGGTACATTCAGCAAATGTTAAAACAGGTTGAAGCTTTTTCTGGTAGCCCTTTATTTATGTAAAAAGCCCCCGAAAAGATGCTCCAAGCTAGGGTGTGACTATCTTTGGAGATTCCTCTTTTTGTTACGTTTTCACGACATACAAAATTAAATGCATTTTCTAGGTACAGAGCCAAGACCCACGTTACTGAGTAGCATATGTACAAAAACTTACACATTCTGTCTTGTTATTAAAAAAATATAAATATCAATAACGTTCAGGCGTATCATGGGTCGGTTTTATTTTTAAGGCTTTCTTCATTCAGATTCTTCATTATTTAATGCGGGTGCCTCACTCTGATTGAGGTGTGTGTGTGGGAGGAGGCCGGGAGCGCAGAGGCGACCGTGCCATGTTACGGAAGATGACACGCTTGTTCATGATGAGCCGGCCCATTCAAAAATAAGTGCCTCCTTCTCGTACCTGGTAGGAAGAGAAACTGTTCACCTCCCTCTTGCATGAGCCAGGCTGGATTAAGTTTGCCTAGTGAGCTCTCAGGGCACTGGGATAGGGGAAGGAAAATAAAGAATTTATTACCAATTTTTTCCTTCCTTGGGTTTTCTTGTTAAACCCATCACCCAATTGTAATTGTGGAGAGGTCTTCCAAAAGTTCTCTGATTAAATAAACTCAAGCAGAAGAGTTTCACAGGAGGCTTGTCGGGGAAAGGTTAAAGTGAAGAGGCTGACGGTGCAGGTAAACTACTGCTGATTCCGAGGGGGGTAGCTGCTGCTGTGGCCGGGGCTGGCTGCTGCCGTGTCCCTGGGAATGACGTCCGTGGGGAGGCTTTCCGCCAGGCACTTGAGCTGTTCCTGACCCAGTTTAATCTTGTCGTCCAGCTCCCGCTGCTCTATGAGAAGTGCGGACTTCATCCTCACAAAGTGCTGGTAGTCCTGGAGCTCCTGCTCCGAGAGGTAATTGCCCAAGATGTCCCAGACCACGCGTTCCCGCCGGTCCAGGTTCTCCTTCAGCTCCCGGGCATCCTCATGCTGGCCAGCCAGCAGTTTCCTCTTCTCATTCAGAGAGCTCTGCCGCATCAGAGAGAGGGAATTAACATCACAGTGCTAATTCAAGGACCTCTTCCCCTCCCCCACAGACAACCTTTCCCTCCCCAAGCAGTGGGGCTATGCTTCCCCCAGACATGGTCACGCCCCGGGAGAAGAGGGAAGAATATTTCAAAGTGGCACAAACAGGAGCCCCAACTCAGGAGTATTCTGAAATGTTTGGTCAACATGGTGGGTGAGGGAATATCTTTTATTAGACCAACTTCTGTTGGTGAGAGAGACAAGCTTTGGCGCTTAAACAAAGCTCCTCTTGTCTCTCTTATTGGACTAACTTCTATAGGTGAGAGAGACAAGAGGAGCTCTGTTTAAGCTCTGAAGCTTCTCTCTCTCACCAACAGAAGTTGGTCCAATAAAAGATATCACCCCTCCCACCTTGTGTCTCCAACTCTGCTGCACCAACGCTTCATAGAACATAGTCGCCATGGAGCAGATGGGGTGATAAATTGTGAACAAAACATGATCAAGCCATGGTTTCTACCATGCTTTGGCCCCCTCTGAACAGTTTGGCCAAAGAGGGCTAAACCATGCGTAGCTAGAGCCAGGAGACCACCGTTTGTTCAGCTGTGTGCTGCTTCATCTGCAGGTCGGCTTGCACAGCTGATGGAAAGACCAGTCAAAAACAAAAGCAGTTTTTAAAAGTTGCCAAGATGCATAGGGTGAGAGTTGTCTGTACAAAATATCAGCCAAGATTCATGGGGCCTGAACGCTATTTACTAAGATTTATACCAATGGAACAAGCTCAACCGTTGGCTTCACTTCGAAGGCTACGATCCTGTATATGGCTGGGAGTTTCAATGGTTTCTAAGAAACTTTGGGCAGGTCTACACTTACCAGGAGATCGGTACTGTGGCAATCGATCCCCCGGCAGTTGATTTAGCGAGTCTAGTAAAGACCTGCTAAATTGACAGCCGATCGTTCTCTCATCGATTCCAGTACTTCACTGGAACAAGAATCATAAGTTGATGGGTGAGTTTCTCTCATGGACCTTCTACAGTGGAGACCCTGTGGCAAATCGATCTAAGGTACGTTGGCTCCAGCTGCACTGTTCACGTAGCTGGAGTTACATACTTCAGGTCAGCATTGCCCCATAGTGTAGACCTGACCATAGAGGCCTTGGTCCGGTTGACTTTCACTGGGAGTCAAGCACCTAACTCATTGAAGCCCATTTGAAAGTCCCATCTTATATGTGGATTTTCTTCTCGTCACCCATTTGTTCAGCACAGTGAAATTATCAATGTTCTAAAGTTTACAAAGAGACATACCCGCTCTTCAGTATTCACATCTTCACCGAGGCTACTCAAAACGTTCTCTACCCGGGCCAGGCGCCCTGAGAGGGAAAGCAAGAGGTTCACCACTTTATCCAGATCTCCTATGAACATCTTGTATTTGTCAAACTCGTTGGGCTTGCATAACTCGCTGATCAACACCTCCACCTCCTCTCCCAGGGCGTTATTCAGCTTGATGTCGGTTAGCAGGCTCTCCTTAGCTTCCTTCAAAATCTCCAGTTTGCGGGTCAAACTTTCGATGAGCTCCGCCTGGTAAGAGGGAAATATGATTACTGTTCTTTATGGTGTATGCTGTGCTGTTGGTGACTGGATGAAGACATGGCCCTGGTTCCATCACACTGAAAAGTCAACAAACGCTGATGACAATCGCAGCGGGGTGAGCTCGAGAGAGAAAAAAATGGAGGAGACAGTGAAGCACAACATGAGAAGACCTGAGCTGCTGGCCAGCTTTACCTGCCTATTAGTCCAAATTGTAACCTGGTTTTGTAATCACTGGGCAAGATTTTGGGTGTCACATTTTGACGCACCTCTTGATACACCTTAGAAGGAGCATTGAAACTTCCCTTCCTTTGTAGAGTGCTTTGAGATGCATGGATGAAGACTGCTTTATAAGATTGTATATATTGAAATCAGTGGAGGTTAGGTACTTAAGAACGTTTAAAAGTCTGAACCTCTATCATGCTCCTACATTCCCTGCCCCTTCAGGATTCTTGTTCGCATATTACATTTTGATTTGTCCTTGGTTGAAATAAACATTATTTTAAAGACTGATTGAAAAAAGGGAGTAATTTTGACTTGTTAGCCAAGACTCTGGCCTAGGTTGTTACAGTATCACAAATGCCAGGGCTGGAAGTTGCTAGCTGCACAGTGCACGCTGGATCAAAACACCTCTAGGGAAAAGAGAAAGAAAACTCGCCAGGTTTGTCCCTCCTATTTTGGTGCCTCTTAGAAAGCACTATAAAGTGCTAAGAGCATGGTGCTCCCAAGGACTTGGGCTTTGTCTACATTTAAAAGTTTAAAGTGCAACTACAGTCATGGCATGGGCACCGGGTGGCTAGGTCTACACTGGGAAATTATGTCAAAATAATAATTCTCAAAATAACTATTTTGAAATAAGCTTATTCCTCAAGGAAAGCCGGAGCTTTTATTTCAAAATAACCAGCCCCTTATTTTGAAATAATAGTCTTGGTAGTGTGGACATGCACCTTGTTATTTTGAAATAATTCCCCAGTGTAGACATGCCCAGAAAAGGCTCTCTGTGTAAACCACTCCCACAAGGGGAGTAGCTAGTTCACACTGGCATTTTACAGCGCCACACCTTCCTACACTCAGGGTGTGCATGTGTTTTTTCACACCCCTGAGCCAGAAAGTTACAGCGCTGTCAAGTGCCAGTGTCGATTTAGCCTTAAAACGTGGGTTCGAGTTATGATGCCCCCGACTTGCGACGCTTCCCCCGGAACCAATCGTGTTGCAAGGCCTCCTGTATTCTTTTGAAGCAAGGAGTTGCCCACTAGATGTGATTTTCACAGAATCCTTGAAGATTAAGGGTGGAAGAGACCTTAGTTCAGAGGTGGAAAACCTTTTTTGGGTCGGGGGCTGTTGACCCACAGAAAAATCAGTCAGAGGCCACACACAAGTGAGAAGCAAAAAACCAAAACAAAAAACCAAATTCAACCAACCAACCAAAACCCCAGAGGAGGTTGCGGGGTGTTGTAGGGCCAGTGCATGCTCCCCAATGATCTGGCCTCAGGGGCCAGAGCCAGGCAAACTGGGGGCCACATCTGGGCCTTTGGTTCCCCACTCCTGGCTTAGGAGGTCATCTAGTCCAGTGTTTCTCAACCAGTGGTACAAGTACCCTTGGGGTACGCAAGAGAAGTCTGGGGGGTACGTCAGCTCTCTGGCTTTGGCCATGAGCTCCAGCAAGTTTAAGCCACCCCAGAAACATTAAAATGGGGTCCTGACCCACAGGTTGAGAACCACTGATCCAGACCTGTGTTTCTCAACCAGCGGTACGAGTACCCTTACGGGTACTGGAGAGAAGTCTGGGGGGTACATCAAGGCAACAGAAATTTGGAGAAAACTGAATTTTTGTTTTTAGTTTTACTGTGCTTTATTATTTTTGTACTTTTTACACTCAAAAATGTCATCACCTGCCTGGCTATGATTCAATTGTTTAAACAAATGTATTGCAAAGGTAGAAAAAAATTGTCTGAAAACTGTTGGTACTGGGGGTACTTTTTTTTTTTAACATAATTTTTTTTTTTTTGGAAAAAGGGGTACTTTATTAAAAAAAAGGTTGAGAAACACTGATCTAGCCTAACCCCCAACGCGAGCGTCACTGTAGCTAAATAATACAGCATGGTTTAGCTGTTTACCACTAGATGGCTACATTATTCACAGATCAGCTGGATTCTAGAGCTGGCACCCTCCGGCGGCAGGTAGCTTTCTGATTGTGCTGGAAGTCTGTTTCCATTTCGGTCGGGGTGCTGATGGTCCGTGAAACGTGAACAACTACTCTCGACCACCGATTTCAGCGGCCCACGCTCCGGGTGATGCGGCCCAGCGAAACCAGTTCTTTTTGTAGCTAGCAATCCCCAAGAGAGAGGTGATGGGTAGCTGGCTATTAATGCCCAGCAGGGTGGTTTGGGGCGGGGGGAAGAGAAGTTACAGGCTCCTTATTCATCAGCATTATGCTGTAAGCTCATCGGAGCAGGGACTGTGTCTTCCCGCGTGTCTGCGCGACGCCTAGTCCAGCGGGTCCCGGCTCTGACTGCAGCCTCAGAGCGACCGGAATGCAAATACAACACAAAGATGGCTCTGATCCTGAGCGTCACAGTGCAAAGCTCTCCCCTTGCCAAGTGGCTCTAGCCCTGGTGAATTCCGTGTGCCCCAGGACCCTCCCAGCACCCAGGCACCCCTTGCCCGGAAACGAGAAAAGGGCTTGGGGGAGGTCATTGCAAGGCAGACACAGGCCGGCTGTTACCCTGATGGCCCCCATTATGGCCTTGTCCAGCTGGAACCTGAGAGGCACTGCCGAGACCCCGTCCCTGCGGGAGCCACAGGACTGATACTCCAGGGAGCCCGACAGCCACCAATCATGGGGGCAGCAGCGCAAAGTGGAAACAGCCATGAATTTTCAATCCTCCTTCAGCCACCCTGGGAGCCACTGTCCCTGCCCCGTGGTGCCAGCCCCTTCTCCTCACCCTCTGCCTGGCAGCTTTGTTTTGCCTTCTGCCACCTGCCAGGAGTGCTGGGCTTTTCCAACTCTGGGCGTGGGCCATCTCTGGCAGCATTTGGCCAACATACACAGTTTGGTGTGGGCAACAAGCCCCCCTCGTCCTCCCAAACTCCACCCCGGCAGACCACCTGGAACTGTGCCATGGCCACCTTTGGGCTGTGGCTCAGCATCAGGAACGCCTGCCCCAACGACCCCTTGTGGCCTTTGGTAGCTGGTGTAGTTTAGAGCAGCCTTCAGGCTGCTGCGCTCAGTGCTAGAGAGCTGTGTAGCACAGCGCAGCCCAGGGCCCTGGAGCGAAAAGAGCACCTTTGCGTTCTTTGGCCACAGCTGTAGCTCAAGCCCCTTCTTTCTAAACACATCAGAGAACCACACTGGCTTCACCACACACGTAACCAAGAATGCTTTCCTCCTCCGGTCCCCGTCTGGGCATAGAGCAGCTCAGCAAACACCAACCAGCACTACCTGGACTAATGCCTCGAACGCAGACCCACTTTGCCCTAGGGATGTAACAGTGCAGTCGATTCACCGATAAGCAAAAGCTTATAGGTTAATGCTGTAGACTTCACGCATTTCCCTCCCCTCCCATACCAGCAAATTTTTTAGCAGGTTGGCCAGCAGCCCGGCTTGGTCCTGGCTTGCAATGGGTCCAGGACCTCCCCCAGATATGGCTCTGCGTTGAAAGTGTATTAGGAGCTAGACGGGCAGGCAGCTGGGCTCAGTTCTGGCTTGCACTGGGTCCAGGAACTCAGACACCCGCCCCTCCCAGACAGAGGCTGCTGCCACCCTGTGCTGTTGCCTCTTTATCAGAGGCAGCAGCACAGGGCAACCGCCAACCAGTCTACGAGGGGAGCTGGTTTTTCAACTGGCTCCTCTCACAGACCAGCTCCCACCTGGCACCCCGTGCTGCTGCCTCAGATAGAGAGGCAGCAGTGTGGAGTGACAGGGGATTCCTTGGGAGTGAGGCTGGAGCATAGTGGCTGCTGGCCCCGCCCCCAGGGACTATAGAATAGTCGACTAACCGATAAGAATTCATGAGGTTACTTGACTAGTCAAGTAATCGATACTTAACATCCCTAGTTTGCTCCTCAATAGGAAAGAACCGGGTCATTATCAACCTACCAAACAATGAAGGCAACAATGGTTCTTTCTCCATGTAGAATCTCATGATACCATCTACATGTTTTGTCAGTCTTTAAGTACTTCCTGACCATTTGTTGTTTGCTAATTAATGGTTCTTATCTGCCTCTTATGACTATCCAGGCTTTTGGTACTTAGAAACTATTTGTTTTTCCTTACCATCTAATAAACCATCTTGTTAGTCTTTAAAGTGCTACATTGTCCTGCATTTTGCTTTTTCTTGTCCCCTCTCCTCCCATTTTTTCCTTCTTCCCCCCTCGCCCCCTTCTCCCGTATTTATTTTAGTTCTGGATATCCAACACTCCAGTCATCTGAAGAAGTGGGCTATACCCACAAAAGCTCATGATACCGTCTACATGTTTTGTCAGTCTATAAAGGGCTACCAGACCATTTGTTGTTTTTTTAAGTTTATCCTGTACAGGCTAACGCGGCTACTCCCTGAAGCTGCAGGAAAGAACATGCTATCCTACAGACGGGCATCCACTTTCGGTCAGATTCTCTGAGGTATGCGCCTCCCGCTCCAATAAGCACTACATCATGATGGCATTAGTGTGGCCCAGGCCTGTCACGCTGGAGTGGGGTGGGTTAGCCTGGATGTGGGGTAGGTTAGTGCTTGTTTGCAGCAGAGGTCAGCCTGACATAGCTATGCCACGGACTCACCAAAGCAGCCTCCTTGTCGTCCAGCTCCGGTGGCGGCAGCAGGGGGTTCACTCCAGCTTTACGCTGGCATAAGCACAGAACCGAGGTCCCTCGCCTATTGCACGATGCAGCTCTCGTGACCGTTAGCTAGAACTCACGTGCCTGGAGACTGGGAGTGAGACACAGCAGCCAAAGGGGCGAAAACCGCAGCGGCATTAGTACAACAGCAAATGGGAAAACACCCGGGAGCCATTCAAAGGGTCTGGTCCAAAGCCCAATTGGGAGCATTTCCATTGACTTTGGATCAGGCCCGGACTGCGCTGCATTGGCGCTGCTCACTAGTTGTCTGCGAGTCAGTGTTGTCTGTGTAAGTCCCCTGTCCTTGAGCCCCTAGTTCTAAGAGGGTGTCAGGTGGCGGGGGTAGGGGTGGAGGCGGGGGAGCAACATGCTTTTTAATCAGAGCTTTGATCTGGAATGCCTAGGAGTCCGACAGGGACCTGAAAGCGCTTGCTTCGTATTCATTAATCAGTGACTCCTGCCTTTCCAAATGCCAGCTCCCACAGGCCTTTGCATATTTACAATGGAAATGTGCTGGGTTTACCCAAATGGCCTCTTAGAGTAGCTGCCTCCCTGTAGAATACCTATGCAAATGTTACTGCACACAGACTCCGAACAAACATGCCAGCCAACGCAATCTCACTACTGGGGCCTAATCACTCAGATCCATTGCTGCTTTCCCATGCAAATGTAACCTTTGATGCCTGAGACTCGTCCTCCCCGGCAGGCTCACACCTACTTGCAAGCTTGTCAGTCCTTCGCTACATGTATCTGAATCATCAGCTCAACTCCTCATCCTTTTACACTGATGTCTTTCTGTTGATCCGGGTGGATGGGGTTCCATTGGAAATGCGATGTTCAACAGCATTGGGAAAATTAATCAAATGTTGCAAATCTGGGACTGGCTGTAACTGTAAAGTAAAGTACCGTGGACTAGGCTGGTCCTTAAAAACAGGTGCTAAGTGGAGTCGAAGGCAGAAGCTAAATGTTTGTGATTAGCAGACCTTGTCAGATAACGTATTCACTGGGCATTTACTTTCCTGCATTGCTACAGAATCACAGAAACCGAATGAGGCCTCTAACCTCAGCTACTCCATTCCCTGCCCGGGCTGGCCTGCTCCCAAAATATTTTCTAATACATCGCTGGGGTCTCTTTTAAATGTCTATGAAAAGGGGCTTCCCAATTCTAGCTTTAATTATTTGTAATAGGGTTGCACCTAGATGATCCCCATGAGATTGGGCTCCCCTTCTATCTAGGCCCTATACGTCCACATAATAAGAGACAGGCCCTTCCCCAAGGAATTTACAGTCACACAGACAATGGCGGGGAGCAGACACAAAAGGGAATCAAGCACTCAGGCGAAGGGACTCAGCGAAGCTCACACAGCAAGCCAGTTGCAGCACTGGGTGGCTTGGCTCCAAGCCCAACACTACACCACGCGGCTCGTGAGCCCAAGGAGAAAGCACACGCACACGTGTTTACAACACCGAGTGCGGGTGCACCTTTCTGTATCTCTCGGTCTGTCCCCCCGCGCCTGTTACACCGAAGGAATAAAAATGCTGTGGTGTGATGCTGCGCAGTGTGACACAAGGTGCTGTACGTTTACAGCAGTTATTTGCTTCCTGACACGGGGCAGAAAGAATGTAGAAATGCGCTTGGGGGTCTCTCCAGCAACCATCTGCCCCCTTGGATTTGGGAGCTTTTCAGTGTCCAAGGGAGAATTCCCTGGGCAACCGAGGGAGCCCTGCTACCAGCTCTAGAGCTGAATTCTAGGAATTGACACCAAGGGCTTCAGCAACAGAACGGCACAAGAGAGGGCCCCTGTCACTGGGCTAGGGGTCATGGGACCTAGATTCTGTTCCTGGCTCTCCCAGGTGACCTGAGCTGTGGTTTTGGCTTGGTTTAGTCTCCTAGCTTGTGCAAGCTGTATGGAGCAGGGGCTGTGACTTGTAATATAGACCTACGCACCTAATACAATTGGGCAAACCACAAACAGAAATGAGGAAAGCCGAGTTTTGCACATGTTGGAACAGGGGGTAACACTCCTTTTTTGCCCTGATACAGCTATACTCAGGGCTCGACAAATAATACAATCTACTCACCCATGGCGAGTAGATTGTAACCCGGAAGAGCCGGGTTCGGGTGATCTGCGCATGTACAGAACGATCTGTGTCAGATTGCCGGAAGCGCGGCTGGTGAGTGGGGCTTGCCATGGGACAGCGAGCCCTGGCTATACTGATGCCCTCTAAAAACAAACCTCTGGTACAGGTCCTTTCTGAAGGGCCTGTGGCAGTAATGTCTAGGGATATGTCTACATTACAGAGGTTTTTTTGGAAAAAACAACTGTTTTTTTTTTTTTAAAAAAACCTCACTTACGTCCATACTGCAATTACATTCTTTCAAAAAAAAAATCGAAAGAACAGAGAGGTTTTTTCGACATTGGTAAACCTCTTTCTACGAGGAAGAAGCCTTTTTCCAAAAGAGCTCTTTTGGAAAAAGGCCTGTGTGGACGGGGAAGAGGGAGTTCTTTCAATAGAAGAGGAAAGAGGAAAAAGCACAGATGCCCAGGTAGCCACTCCGTCCATAGTAATCACAGCTTACATTCAGTGTGGATGCTCTCTGTTGAAAAAGCAGATCGCTTTTTCGATGTGCTTTTGCTGTGTAGTCGCTCGCTTTCGGAAGAAGTTTTTTCAGAAGATCTCTTCCGGAAAAGCTTCTTCAGAAAGAAGCCTGCAATCTAGACAGCCTAGAGGTTCTGAAGCTGAACAGCATTGCATTTCTGTACATCAGCACTGAGTTAGGTCCCAGCTGGTCACATTCAGACCTACAGAAAGCCACGCTGTGGATTTACCTTCTTCTCATTGATGTCCAGCTGCTCCTCTTCCTTGTCCACATCTCCTGGCAAGTCTTTGATTTTATTCAACAGCTCTGCTTTGGGTGCCGACATGTTATAGTAAGCAGGGCAGGTGATCAAAGTTACAGCAGCTTCCTTTTCCTCTCTCCTAGATGAAAAGAAAAAAAAGAGACACACAAGTCCAGAGTTGGGTTTAGTCTGGTTTTGACTTTGGTCTATTCTTCCCTTAGCAAAAGTGGTAGGATATCAACTGGGATAGTTTATTAACAGTCCGTAACAGAGAATGCCAATTCCCACCAGTAGATGGTGCATGTCAGCTATTTTCCGTTTTCTCCATGCTGGGAAAGCCAACACAATCGTACTGATGTTTGGTTGTCAGCTGACAACTCGTCTAAACACTGGGGCTGGATCCTCAGCTAGTCTAAACTGGTATAGCTCTGTTGAAGTACATTTAATTCCAAATCTTATCCTGCATAATCCAGTTGTAACTTATTGTAGCAGGGCTTCTCCAGCTGTTGCGTGTGGCCCTTTGTTTTACAGTAGGCATTTTCCAAAGTTTAGGGCTAATTTTTATAGCACACTGTAGTGCTTTTTTATAAGGGATTCCCCCAAGCTCCTTCCCTCTCCCACGCAAAATAGTGCCTCTCCTAAGCCTTCACAAAGATTTGCTTCCAATTCTGTTCTCCCAGCAGTTTTACACGGCAGTAATTCCATTAGGTTGAGTGGAGTTACTCCTGTTACCATGGTGTAAGAATAGAATTAGGCCTCTGGTTTGGGGGTGTAGCATGGATCTCAGTTTCCAAAATCATGGGAAATATCATAGAAAAGATTAACTAACAAGGGGGTGGAGTGAAGCAGCCCTCCCCATGCTCCACACCAAACTCAGCACCATATTCAGTACTGGCCGTAGTGTCCTGGGCTGTGTCTACATTGGCATCCCTTTCTGGAAAAGGGATGCTAATGAGACACTTCGGAATTGCAAATCCGCGGGGGATTTAAATAAGGGATCTTCCGGAAAAGGGCTTATTTTCCGGAAAATCGCATCTACACTGGCGCTTTTCTCCGGCAAAAACCCCGAGCCGGAAAAAAGCGGAAGCCATGTAAATGCAAATGCCGCGGGGGATATTTAAATCCCCCGCAGATTTGCAATTCCGAAGTGTCTCATTAGCATCCCTTTTCCAGAAAGGGATGCCAATCAGCCCTGGAGCTTAGAGGAGAGATGGTCCGGAGGCCAATAGCTATGCACAGCCAAGATGGTAGGAAACCCTTTTACAAGAATGATTTGCTAGTCCCAGTGTTTGGGGATCGAGATCAAAGTAGTGTTCCATCCGCACTGGCAGGGGGAATCCAGC